CGTACGAATCGAACACGACTTCACCACCCTTCTGCACCGCCGCTCTTGGAGGATGCTCGTTTAGAAAACGAAGCCAGATGGCACTTATTTGTCCTTTTTCTTGCCTTTTTTTTCCCCTTCAGCAGGTCACTTTCTGGAGGTCAGGCGCCTGCGGCCCCTTCCTGGAGCACAGAACCTAAAGGGTGAGACCAACCCACGCTCCTAACCGAGCGGCTGCAGTCCCACGGGGACCTCCTGCACACACCGGGGCTCCAGGGCCTTTCTGGAGCGTTTATTTACAGAGATTGGGAGAGCATCCAAGCCTTGGACACATGCAGCTCCCTAGAGAGCCCACAAAGAGGTAGCTAAACTCATTTTGGCTCTTTTAAGCTCTACATTGTGTGCTCCATCCATGCGCCAGCCTCGTGGGAGCAAAATACAGCACACGAGGAGCTAGAGCTGGTGCCTCCATGGGCAAGAGCCGCTTGGAAAGGCAGCAAGGAGAGGAAGGAGGACGCGGAGCCCTGGAGACGAAGCAAAAGCTGGTCCAGCCCAGGGCCGTTGGCAGCCGAGAGGCTGAGATTCCGCACGGGATGTGGGTGTGCGGGGAGCTAATGCACGTGGAGGCTGCATGGAGCCAAGGAGAGCCCAGCACGGACCAGGAAAATGTGGTGTTTACTTAAAAAAGAGCCTAGAGCTCAACAGAAGCAGCCCTCGCACTCAACACTGCCCCAGCAGCAACCGTGTCTTCATGATGGTGCATTTTTCAATACTGAGGTTCTCTCGAGGGTGGTGTATATGCATATATATGTCTTTAGAAGGTGGGAGGAGAGAAGGAAGGGGAAACAAACCAAAACCACCAACAACAAAACAAGCGCTTTTGAGAAATTCAGGCTTATTCACAAGATTAAAAAAAGAAAAAACACAAAAACACCGAGACCACTCTTACAGTATAAACACGCCAATTCATTCATTTTACTGATGGTTGCATTTATGAATTTCATTCTCGTGAAAAAAAGGGAACAAAAGGAAAAAAATAAGAAAATAGCTATTTATAGAAAACAAAACAAAAAAGGGCTCAAACAGAAAATAATCTGTGCCGATGCTTTTGATGAGCAGTCCGATGGCATTAAACATTACCTGTGCAAGCAGGCATGCTCGAAACCCTGTCTTAGCACTGTCAGCTTCAGTTCCACAATCCAGGATTTCTTTCATGTTTTGAAAAAAATAAGAGCCTAATAGTTTCATACTGTATTTATTTAATAACTAAAATTCACAAATAAAAAGATACTTGCAAAGTCCTTTAGGTGTGTCATCCCCTCCTCCTCCACTCTACTGCTTTCAGACCCATATGCATAAAAAATGGGCTTGGATTTTTAATTTTAACTGTTATATGATTGGTCGTTGGAGCTGAAGCACCAATGGAGAAGATGCTTTATGGAGATGAGGGTACACCCCCTTGCCTTCCCACACACGTTTTGGAGGAGCATAGGAGATGTACCTGCGCCCGGACTCCTCTGCTCCCATTTCCCCCACCCAGAGCATTCCTTTCATTTTATATTTCCTCTGTTAGGTGACCGACTGTAGCCTCTTTTTTCCCCCTTTCTGTCCTTGCTGGACTGCATACACGTTGGACATTGTTCATTTCTTACTCCGCCAGGCTTTGAGCCAGTGTCAAGTAGGTCCTGTTGCAGCTCAGTGCTAGTTGTTTTTTAATGGGTCTTTTCATTTCAGGTAGGTTTGTGTGTCGTTGCAGAAGGCTTGCTTGTTTTCTTCCTTGTTTATATCTGACAAGCTGCTGGATAAGGCTATTCGTACTCCAGGAACTGCTTGTGATAGAACAGCAAATATCTGCAAGAAAGTAGAGGTACAGTTTGATTAGATTAATATTGCTATTGATGTCATTGTAGAAAGGAGGGCTACTCATTTTGTTTTTCTTTCAATCTCTAGTGATTCCAGGGAAATGTCAGCTTCCTGCAGTAACCATGGAAGAGGAGGAGGGAAGTCAGTCGGAATAGTTACAGCAGCAACTCAGGAAACTGAACAGTTGTCTGTCATGCAGGCAAACCTGCATGTTGTGTAATCTACTGGGAAGGTGAAATTTCTGGAAAACTGGACTCTGCCGATGCTCAGGCAGGATCCACTTAATGCTACTGTGACAAAAACCATACAAATGAGAGGCCTTAAGAGGTGGTTGCTCCCTCAGAGCCACACAACCAAAACACAAGGCACTTGTGATTGCTGCACACTGCATGCTGTCTGCTCATATGAAAACCAAGTGTGAATGAAAATCTGCGTCGCAGTCAAACCCAACTGTAATGTCTCATTCTGTACTCTGCTGTTTCAACAGGGGGAAGCTCCTCCTGTTCTTAATTACTGCGTGCACACTGCTATATAACAGAGCCTGGCCTTGGAGGGGACTGAGCGCTGCGTATTTACCCACCACACGCTCACAGAGTCACTGCACAACTCGGCTAAAATTACTTCATTTTTGAGACTTGCCAGTTCTCATTACTCTGCTTCCAGCTCTACAGAGTTTCCCTTATATCCAATGAGATCTACTCAGTGTTAGCATTTATCTGAACCAAGGAAAATGCATCACATACCTAACTGGTCTCTAATGAGGTAGCTGTGCAGCAGTTGTGTTGCATACCCTCTCCTCGCCTATAGTATTCTTTTCCACAGATATATCCCAGGACCAAAGCTAACCATTTGTTATTGAATAAAAATAGCCAGCTTATTTCTCCTGGAAACCTTATAGCATAAGCAATTTTTGTCAAATCATTTAACATTACAATTCACATACCATGAGAGAGGTTTTTATTGCCAAGCTGAAGTGCAGGACAGGAAAAATGGGTAAACCTATTATAAATTGCAAACTGAACATCTGTGCCTGCAGCAATTAATGGAAATGTCAGGTATGATTAAAAAAAAAAAAAAGGAAGGAAGGAAAGAAGAACAAAAGAGTTATCTTTCTATTATCAAGTCATCAAATCCCTGTTTGAAAAATGCCAAAATGAATATTTCAGATTTTAAGTTGCTGCATTCTTAAAACAGACACCATTCCCCTATGCTTCTCTCAAATGAGAAGTACCCGAACGTTTCCCTTGCAAATCATTGCTCTGCACTCCGAATACTCTTCTATTACAAGTATCTGAAACCCTAACATCAATCTGAAATCAATTTAAAGCTGTGAGCTATGAGCTCCTGCCCTACACTTGCCTCCCATAGAGCCTTGTCACGCTGCAGTTTGTATATTTGCCTAATGGTTTTTCTTCAGATCTTTTACATTCACTGTAATCTATAAGTTCTGCAGCCAGAGACAGGATTATGTCACGACTGTACTTGCAAGATCCCTATTTCTACACTGGATAATCCCATCACCAAGTCCCTTGTATTTGCAAGCAAGAGTTTGGACATGAGCACCAGTTAGAGACATTGCAAGTGATGCTCCCTTGTCCTTCCCTCCTCTTCCTTCAAAAAATCCGGGAACATAAAGCAATGTTCTGAAGTGCTGATAACGGAGGGGAAAAAAAGAATAAGATACCAAAGCAGAGAAATTAAGTCTTGTCTCTGAGGAAGCAGTATTTTTATCTGAAAGTAAAAAAGGAAAACCCTGAAAGTGGGTGAGCTTCCCTTCCTTTTCCCTTTTCCGTTCACGACTTACCCTTCACTGTCTAGTACATCCTTAATGCTAGCCTTGGTGATAATGGCATCATCACACTTGAACCACTGGTCCTTGTGCTGCCGGATGAAGCTGGTATAGTGCCCACTCTCCAAGGTTCCTTGGTGATTAACTACTGCAAACAAGGAATACCTGGCACAGAAAAGAGTTAATGAATGAGTGGATCAAGACAGGCAAAGACATTTCACATTTTAGATGAGCAGAACTTTGTGCTGCTACATATTGATAGAAAATGTAATATACAAATATCAAAATGAAAACATATCTGACCCATCAGTAAAACACCAGCTCTAAACATTGGATGGGAAGGTGACATCCTTGCCTGGAGAAAATGAGCCACATTTTTCTATTCCATTTCTTGCTGTTAATGCAACATTCCAGCCTGATGACAGCTATCAGCTTTACCAATATTAGCTCCTAAGGATTTTTCAATACTGATGTATTCCTGAAGAGGACCACTGATTATCCAGTCTGCACTTCGATTTCCCTGAATAGCTGCTTCAGGGAACCAGGAAAAGAAGGAGCCATCCTAGACAGTTCTAGTGCTATTGCACTAACTGTCCTTAGTATGGAAAGTTTGTAGCTATTTTGAAAACTGAAAATACTCAGCCTCAACTTCCAGCTTTCTGATCTTGTTGAACTTTTGCCTGCTAGACTGAAAATCAGATATCTCTTTCAGAGAAGGGTATGGTTAGAAGGATATGGGCAGACTGATCCACCTGCTACTAGCATTTGTTTTTTTTCCTTTAAACTGAAGTCCTTGACTCTTTTGTTCTAAGGTAAGGTTTTCTTTCCCAGTCTTAATTTCCCTTGTGGTTGTTTTTCAGATATTCTCCACTCAAACCCTTTATTAAAAGGCTATCTATCTTCAAGCCTGAGTGTAAATATAGTGGCACAATGATCAAGCAGTCCCTCTAATTTCACCTGGTATCTTCCTACCTACTTATATCTAAAAACCACAGGGCTCTCTAGACCCAGGGCTGCAACAAGGGTTCCTGTTCAGCTGAGTCTCCCAGAGATTCTTAAGAGCCACCATTTTTCCAGATGGAGCCTTTAATCTGGCCAGGATGGACAATGATCTTTGTTCCTAGATGTAGGATGCTAGGATTGCCTCACCTGTTTACCAGCTTCCAGCCTATCCAGCAAGCAACCCAGATGTCTCTGCCCTCATTACCTAATCCTCTTCATCGTTAACAACTTTGCCAAATTGTGTGTGTCACGCGTGAGCCTCAGTGATGCACTTTGTTTTCTTTCCTATCTTTGCTAGCACTATTAAACACCACACATCTAACGAGTCGGTCCCTGCCGGAGCGCACAAAACACACCTGCTTGATGTCTTCTTGTACGACATGCACTGAGACCTAGTTAGCTAGTTTTTAAATCCATCTATTGTGAGATCCCAGCTTCTGAATGAGTGTGTTAGTATCAAATGAAATGCCTTGAGGAATTTAAACACATAATGTCAGCATATGACCGTAACCAAACTGTAACATATTAAAAAACAAAGTTTTTGTGGTCAGACCCTTTTTCATAAAACTATGGATACTGGCTTCAACTATTTCTCCTTTAAACTTTTGAGCAAGTTTTATACCAGCTGCTCTATCATTCTGCCTGGAATCAATGCCTGACCTACACATTGCAGAATTACAAGTTCTGACAGAATATCAGTGTTTGATAAAATTTCTTTCAGTTTTCTGGTCCTTCCTTTGCTGTTCCAATAGAAATAGGATTATTTAAAGGAAAACCCATACATTTTAAAGGTGTAACAGCAGCGCTGGGGTTAACGGCATCAGGCTATGAAGTTGGCTGCCACTAAAGGCACGATAAGCTTTGCAATCGTGGTGAAGCTTTATTTTGCAACAGTTCAGACTTACTGTGCTGTCAAGTATGGTAATGCACTTATCACTGCAGGATATACCGCAGACTGTACAACTCCTTCTAGAAGCCAACCACCTTTCACAATAGGAGTCATGGAATGTACCACTTACTTATTATCATTGTTTAGACTATCCGTCGGCTGCTGGTATTGCCCGTTCATTCTGCTCTCTTTACTGTAACACACACACAAAAATCCAGTCATTTAAAGCAGTGGCTTCCTGAACAGAGTAAATAGGCTGTACACGACACAGCTTGTTTGCTGAAGCTGTGTCCTAATTCAAAAGCACAGTGCTGCTTAGCAGCAGAGAAGGTCTGCTGATTAGGATGCTAAAGATGCTGTATTTGTTCTCGCAGCAATGCTACATACGAAGCACCATTTCTCCTTCTGGTCAAGGCTTCAGTGCTGTAAATATCGATCTGTTTACATCAAATGTCCCATCCCAAAGCTTAAAAACAGGTTAAGAAAAGATTTGTATTTTAAACCTGGAAAAATATCTAATTACATCAATCCCTTATCCTGTGATGGGTCAATCATCCTGGCTCTGACTTGTAAATTCATTTTGTGTTTTGACAGCAGCAATAGGATTACGCTGTTGATTTCACAGCTGATGAAATTCAGATTACCAAGCTACGCCTCCCGATTATCCTGTCTATATTCCGTTATGCTTGATACCTTTCATCAGCAGAGCCTATTCTATCCAGGGAGAATTCACCACAGAGGAATGGGAAACTCACAATCTCCAGAATGTACTGGAATAAGCTATATATCCCTAATACAACACAATTTAACAGAGCTTCTGGGCCCTCCCTTCTCTCCTGGCAGACACATCTACTTTTCTGTGGGAAAAAAAGAAAAATACTTGAAAGTACTATTTAATTTTTATCTTCAAATACAGCCCTTCTGTTAGGGGATGTCATGTTTTGGTGCTTTCTGCATTGCTTCAGTTATAAATTAGGTCTGAATATCTTTCATATCCTCCGAATGGAATGCCTGATACATACTTGTTACCTGAGCTCATTCAGCTCCCTTTTATACATGTATTTTGGCATAAATGTTGTGTCTTTGTAACATCTTGGGAGGTGGGAAAAGTCTTCCTGCATTTGATTAAATGCCAATTAGAATACCTATTTTAATCCGAACAACATGCTTTCCTTGCACCGTTCACTTAAGAGACAGTGAAGGTTAAAATAAAAGAAGTTCGCACATGCACAAGGAAGGATTTTTATAACCTAAGAAACATGACATCAGGCTTGCTAGGTCTAGTTTGCCTGATCATCCAGGAAGACTGATGGGTGAGCACTCAGGTGACAGGAGCAAAGCTGAGATCTCTAAAATTCTGAAGGGATGAAGGATCCAAGTCTGCAAGTTTAACATGAACTAGATGCATAATATGCAGCACCTTAAGTGTTTAAACTGCCTAAACAAGTCTCTTCTGGCATAAAACACCTCTCAATACCTCATCTGAAAACTAGAACAGTTTTGAGCAGGTCTTTGGGGACTGTGAACTGGGTACACACCTGGAAGCCATGAATGGTGTCATGTCCAGCTCCAGTGGAAACGAGACATACGTAGTGATCTTTCGCCTCAGTTTGGCTGAGTGTTCAAACCGCTGCAGACAAAGCATAACCATTTTTTTCTTTTAGAGAGAAGCTGCATTTTCCACCTTTTATAAACAATAGGTACAAATATTGATAAATTTTTATAAATCTAAGGCATGATGATGTAAAGGCATGTTAGCAGTCAGTATCCAGGGACACCACCGGATTCTTTTCTGCCAGTTACCTGAAGGCAGGAGCCCCCACTAAATGCTAAAACATTTCTATCAGGAAAATGAACCTCCCCAAATGACATCATTAGTGAAGGAAAACAAGGTATTGATCACAATGTTTACCTTGCTACCTATGTATACAAGCCTATTCCCAACTGACAACAAAAGACACATTAAATAGATAGTGCCCACGGGCTTTAACTATATTAGTGTTCACCTTTGCTATGGGTTATGCAAATATATGGTCCCTGCCTCGACAAGCATGCAAAATTGGCGACAGGGAGGTCTTGCCAGGAGATTCCTACACTTAAATCCACTCAGCTAATCATCTCCAACAGCCGGTGGCAAGATTGCACAGCAATACCAATTCAAATCAAGGAAATATGTAAGGTGGCAATAAAAGCCTTGTCCTTCCTTCTCCTACAAGGACCTGCAGTTTCTACCGTACTTTCCTCATCTTGCCAATTGAGCATTAAATGGAAGCAGGAACAAATAACAGAAAGAGATGAATGAGCTTCTATTTAAAGCCAGCTTCTCTCCACATTTCTCAGAAATTCTGCTCTATTTACACTTCAAGTTAATTATTTTCCAATTGTGGTGCCATAACAATTCCCTAGCAACAGATCCAGACTTCAAAAGCTGAGACTTTTGTAATTCTTATCTTTTGCACTTTTTTCGCTTTACTACATGAAAATGAAATTTGCATTTTGGATGGATGGAAGAGCACAATCACCTCAGGAACAGTTATTTATTTTCAAAAATATCTTCAATCACTCTGGGTAACACAAATACTGAATTGAGTGGAGGAAAGGAGTTTAGCACATTTGCATGGCCTTGCCCAAAGATCAGAATTGCCTAGGCACATCTTTCAAACTACTTTGCATTAAAAAAAAATTACTCAAACCATTCCTCCAAACCAAAAACTAACCCCCTGACAAGCCCCCCTGAAACTGCAAGTCAGTCATACAAAAACCAGACAGCAGGCAGAAAAAGAAGAACAAAGAAATCGTGTTGCTATCTATTCCAGGCAGGCTCATATCTTCTGCATATCACAGTGCATTATACTTGGTTAATGCTCAGGGTGCAGCTGAAGAACTGCTGGTATATGAGAGTGAACATCTGAAGAACTGACTGACCCAGTCTGAAAATGCCTATAAATTACAAAAATGGGAATTCCTTCTACTTGTTACTAACAGCTTTCTCCAGTAGAAAGCAGAATCAATCTTTTTTATGAATACAGACCTTTCTGTGGCATTCTGTGCTTTCATGTCAAGACCTCTGCAATTGATTAACATGCTTCTCTATGGGGCAGATTTTAAAAACACATTTTAAATTGTTGCTGCATTGGTACAGCGTTGCTACGTAATTTAACAATCATTTCATGAATTCTATCCATGACTTGGTCACTGAGACCAAGTCATTGCAGTCATACAGATTATTGGATTTTCCAATACGATCTACTAACCTAACTTTGCAGGCTATTGAAGAAAAACAACGTGCTTCAGTCAAACTCAGCACTTCGTCACAACCAGCACAAAATAAAGGTCTATTTCCAAAAAACACTACTGAAGTTACCCAGGTGTTTTACCAAAGCTGAAAGCCTAGCAATCATACACAAATTAAATAATTCAATTCTGGAGCAAAAGGTGGGAATGATGATGTCTTTCAATATCTCCCCTTAGAAAAAGAAGCAATACAAAGCTTGTACATAGCATATAGGTTAGTGTTTTAAGATCTGCTTTCTCTAAGACATCCTGGTTCTAGGTAAAACGCTGCTTTTCTTTGAGTGATACTAGTGCTACATAAGCAGCTTCTTGAGGCAGTGATCACAGATCGTAACTGATGATCCTGATCCTCAGCTCGGCCTGGGAATGAGAAGACTTTGTCATTTGAACCCAGGAAACACAGAGGCCTGAGAGGTCCGTAACTGATGATCCTGATCCTCAGCTCTGCCTGGGAATGAGAAAACTTTTCATCTGAACCCAGGAAACACAAAGGTTTGCATCAGGAAAGCTCAAGCAGATCAAAGTTATTGCAGTAGCATCAGGAAAGCTCAAGCAGATCAAAGCTATTATGGTGGCTGCTTCTATAAGTCCTGTGCACCATTTTTCAAAAAATTCTAGACAGATAAAGACATCTCCTTCTGCAAGGGCTGCCTGCTTTGCATCATGGTTTTACTCTATATTTAGGCCACAAAAAGTACAGGACTAAACCATTTGAGGGCACCAACTATTACATTATTTCCCATCAGCGCAGCTGATTCGATTTGGATCGGAAATGCTGAAAACCAGCCCACAGTAATTTTGAGAGAATTAGCTGGGAAGATACAAGTCTTCTCCTTTGCAATCCATAAATTCGGCATTTCTTCCCCACATCCCAAACACAGAATTTCTTTGTAGCGTCTTTCCTGTGGAAGTGCAGGGTCAAAAATTTTACTATGCTGTACAAGTGTTATCGAGGACTGACTTTTATGCAGGTTCAGGAAGGTATTAGCCTTCCATTTAGTTTCTGAATTTTGATTTTTTACATTTCCAGACATAGAGCAAGGCTACATTATAAATACAATCACACTATCTTAATAGAAAATCTAGCTGAGCATGCAAGCTGTTCTTGAAATTATTATTATTTTTTTTATCACAAAAGATTAGTCTGTGAAAGTCAGAAGACATGCCCAGGAACTTAGCTTATCCTCTCAAAGAGGAATATATGTCCTCTGCTCTGCCTGCCCTTTGTGAACTTACTTTGAGATGAAAACAGGCCACAATGGGTAACTTCTTCATAGTGAGCTGTTTGGTAGATTCCTGGTAGCTATGGCAACCACTACATTTGATTTTGGCACTGCTTCCTAGATGTTCTGGCCTTGTAAACCTGAAAAATAATAAAAAAGCAAAGGAAAGCACAACGTGACCCGAGGGTCTCCAGCACACCTTGGAAACAATGTTCACTTTTTCTCGTGGCTCACTATCACCACAAGACACGAAATTTATGGCGTAAACAATGTTTTGGAAAACAAAAAATACCCTCCAAGACCTACAATAATGTTAAGTGCTGTGCTTCGGATAGCCAAATCAGACATTTTGCTCTACTTGGGCACATTGCCCTGAAATGCATCAACGACTGAGAAGGGAGTTAAATGCTTGCTCATATCCTACAAATGTACCCCTAACTATTAGACAGATAGCAAATATCTTTTCTTTCCAAAACCCAAAACATTGATATGGAAATTCTGAAACACAACGAACTTGGAGATAGAAGACAGCTGTAAACAAATGATTATTTTCAAAAATCAGCTTTTAAAAACTACCTGTTTTCACAGACTGAACTGCTTGAGGGGGGCTATAGGAAAGATAACATTACAGAGCAGGAAACTGCTTTCAGAAAATACACTACACATTCTCGTGACACATTAAAGCAAAATTCTCCCCTATTTGGTGAATCTTTCAGCACATAATTGGCTAGCAGGACAGGACTGTCTGTTCCTTTTGAGTTCAGATTTCTATGGGGCAAATAAGTATCAAGTCATCACCCCCGAAGGTTGCTTTACGGTTAGGATTTTTGAGGTACACTCTGCTCCCAAATCGAGAGTCTTTGAGGGCATTTTTGAACCTGGATAGCTCTCCTTCCTCATCATCTTTATTATTCTACCTATCTCCATTTTGGAGAAAATTTGTCTGGTTTTGATTTCTGCTGAAATCTCCTTTCTGGCATTGGTTATTTCTCATTAACACTAATTCCCTTGTTTTCTTAAAATTCATAATCTTACAAGTAAGGAGAACCTCAGAAATCAGATGCTATCAATTTTTATTTCAGGAGGATTGGCTTTGCCCCAGGCTATAGGTAACCTCTTCTTTAGACAAAGATCTGTCTTCCTGTATTTGCCTTGAGAGAATGACTTTCTGATGCTCTAAAGTTTTGAGTTAACTATATTTGAAGGCATGAATTTGTTTCCAGCTACCTTGTTTCCAAAGCTGGCTTAGTTTTCTGCTCAGAATTATCTTTTCATTTGGAAAACTGCATGGCTTTAATTTTTTCTGCCATCCTAGCAAATGAGCTAGCAGCAGCTTCCCCACTCCGCTTAGAGTGGATTTAGATTTACACTTGGTATTGTGTCATAACTTAGATAAATATTAAAAGCATTGCAAACTCTTTTTGTGTTTTTTGTTTCAGCTGACAAAACCAAGACCAGGGAGGCTGAGACAACAGCACTAGTGGTTTAACCACGTACAGCCATGTTGCCTGGCAGCAGAAAATGTAAAATTTACTTTCCATTTGCATCACCACTTTTGATAGCATCTTATGAGGCCCATTTTTTTCCTAAACCTTCTTTGTTTTTTTTCACTTCATTTTACACAAACCCCAAAATATGCATTGAAAAAAATAGTTAGCATTAATACCATGATAAAACAAAACCCCTATTGCCATTGTTCACCTGTGGAGAACAGAATGGAGCCAGATTCTTTTTAATCCAGTGTGTTAGTCCCATTTCATACCTTCGCAAGCAGTCTGTGAGAGTGGTGGTGCCTGATACATGGCTTTCCCCATTGACGACACTGCCATCACTCCCCGGACTCAGAGGCCAGAACGGGGTGGAGGAGCCTGGCAAATCCAAACTGATATCCCAAAATGGGTCTATCGTTGTGGAAACACCACTATGAAAGAGAACACAGTTTAATATATATTTAATACATGATTAAAATAACAAAAAAAGAGCAATCTCTCCCATTCTAAGGTGCGCACCAGGCATTTAAGAACTCTAGGATCTACATTACCTCTAGAGGGCACTAAAATATGACAAAAAAATACCAAGCGAGAAAAAACACTGCAGTTGCACCAGTTTTTGCATGCTTGATTACTTTTTGAATACTTAAAAGCCGCATGGTTTAGCAAATATATTTTATTAAACACCAACTAGTGTATAATATTTGATTATACACCAGTTAGTTCTAAAGCTAGTTCTCAGCTTGAGACATGGAGCATCCTTCCTAACCAGGCTTAGACAAAAAAGGGAGCTAAATACTTTTGCAGTATGCTAGTGCACTGAATTAAGCTTTGCAGTTCACCTTAGGATCTCCTATGGCATTTGGAATTTGAGAGGCCAGAGAGTAACACCCTCAAGAGGTACCTTATGTTCTTGATCAGGTTTCTCTATGAGACAGCTGAAGACAAGGCAGGTCTGAGAACACAAAGTTCTCAAAACTTCATCATCTATTGATTGGAATCTTTTCTTCCAGCATTTAGGTTTTTAAGGGAATCTTAAAACCTGGGTTCTAAGCTCTCGGGTCGGAAACGTTTTCCTTTTGCACTGTTTGTGCCCACTTTCTGGGCTCTCTTCTCTTTGACTAGGAGATCTGAAGACTCTAGTGTCCCACCCTTTTGTTTGGATTCATTTGTGCTATGCATTTAAAAAAAAAAAAAAAAAAGCTTTTTGTTGAAGTTGCTTGAAAGCTGATACTGTGTCATAACACATCAAGCCTTTTACTATCATTGAAGGACTCTAGTTCTACCAGGGAAATAACAGAATTTCATACATTTTCATTACAGTAAAGCTTCTGCAAATCTCTCCAGGAAATTGAGAATAAAAGCAGATTTAAACAAGAAGAGCACAGCAGTCCTTCTGCAGGATACTGTGGATAATTGTAAGGAATGCAAGAACAAAAACCAAGAACTCTGACTTCTGCACTGCAGCAACATCAAATGTCTCGGAAGAAGTCAACTTGCTTCAGTGCACAAAACAAAACAACAAATATGATTTCTCATACTCTTGTAACATTTGCCTGCTGGTACCTGAGACTATGTGATATTAGGCTCTTGCAAACCTCTCCTGATGAAACCTGAGGCTCATCACTGAGGGAAAGTATTAATACGGCTGCATATCAAGCTTTACTCCAAATCTAGTGGTAGCTACATACTTTTTCAAAACCAAAGAGATCTTGCTAGTCATATTTTAGAGGTTAGTAAAAAAAGTTAGCATTTATTTCCAAGTAGCCTTTCTGGTATGTCCTCATACATGATAATTACCTTAGAATGGACTCTATTTAGCTGATGCTGTATTTAAGCAGTTCTTGTCTCACAGAACCTTGCTAACATGTTATTGATGTTCAAGAAAGGAATACACAATACCCACTGTACTAGAGGGCTCATAGCTTCCAATCAGAGTGCAAAGCTAAAAAAAAAAAAAAAAAAAAAATCACTTACTGGCAGACTTGACAGGTAACATCAGACTGCAGTCCGCCTGTGAAGATTTGGTCTATGATGCAATTACAGTGGTTGGGGTTGTTGGCCTTCTTCCCGTTATCATCACCTGGAGGAAGGCAAATAGACTCAGCAGTCAAAAATCCTCCGTGTGAACAGTGGTTAGTCTTGTACAGTGTTTCTAGTAACTCTTTGTAACGCACAGTCATAGATATATTGTACAAACTCACACAGATAATATGGAACCCTGAGAACACAGTGCGTTAAGAAAAAGGAAACAAGAAAACTCTTAGCAGAATATAGACAGTTGGAAGGTATCTAAATCCAGTTTATTGCTACTGTAGTTAGCAAAGCCACGTCAGCTGCCAGCCAAACCTTTCATCAGGAGACGGCCCCATCTCCCCTGACTGAGATTTGCTCTGTGCCATGCAGTATAAAGAGCAGTTCTTAAGACACAGGAGCTGCCAAGGTGGTTAATGAAAACGACTGTTTAAACTTCGTTGAGAGGGCCACGGAGCAATATTTGCCTCTAAACAAATGCAGTAATTTCCTCTTAGGCGGAGTATTCTCCGTTCATTATTTTCCTAAATGAACGCAGAGGAGAAACGTCAGCAAACCCCACTTTCTAATTCCACCACAGTCAACACTGGCTAATGCCGTAAGGAGGGGTTTTGTCAAAACTCCATTAAGCCTCAGCCTGTTGTCTGCATCTTCTTGCAACACAAACATTTACTTTTCTTTCCAGTTTCCACCACGAAGAAATGAAAAACGCCCTTATCTGGAGCAGGGAGATAAGAGCAGTGTCTTCTCCCAGCTTCTCCTTAGAGGCGCTGCCTCTCCCGGCTTCCCAAGGGGCAGTGAATTCCTACCTATCTTTCAAGCATTCTAAATTGTCCTTGCAGGTCTCGGAGCAATTCGTTTCTCTGATTGGAGAGCAGAGATTAGGCGATTTCAGCTTTCCTAGATTAACCGAAGCACTAAACAAATATCCACCGCCAACTCTACACAATTCCTTGGAGCACATTCCTTCCATCCTCTGTAAGTAAAATAGGAGTGATAATGCTGTTTCCCTTTGATTTCTAAAACTGTCATTACTTCCTTGGGTTGGGTGGATGCAATTAGTTTTACTTTGTAACAGAGACGCACACAGCTATTTCAGAAAAGCTGTTAGTTTGAAAAGTAGATTTCAAGATCTCATCTGATATTGTGTAACAGGTAAAGGTAAAGGGAAAATTCAGAAACTGCTAAGGCAGAATTAAGGTATTTTTCCTAATGTTTTTAATTTGACAGGGAATATTTTAGTTTCCCAAGTTAAATAATATCTTTTTAGTCAAGTGTTTTTAATACTAAACAAACTAAAGGCATAGGATAAACAACTTTTCTTGTGTCTAAGGTCCTCTTGTTGGACTCTCCCTGCAGCTTGAGTAAGAAGGAACGAAATTAAGTTTTAAAGTTTGTTGAAAGATGCTGAATAGCTAACAAATCTTCCAAATGATAGTAAACGCAGGAGGAAAAACAAAACAAAACAAAAAACCCCACATAAATGATACCCACTAAGCCATGATGAGCAACATTTATATTCTATATGGCTCAGAAAGGCTCTCACTCAGCTGATTGCTTTAGAAACTTATGTCTGAATCTTGAGGAAAAGCACACGGTTCCTTTAATATGGCTCTTGTGGAAAATGCTATGAAGTTGTATTTGAAATGTGAGAGCTATCAAGTGGAGAAGTTAACAGGCTCAGGCTTAGACAATTTCTGGTCAGAATTTCAGCTAAATCTTACTGAACTTTAGACTTTCAGGAGGTCTAAATTATGCTAATCTAATGAATTGAGCGCACAGTACAAAGACTATACAAGATATTCTTCACTGTTATAAAAGGATCACTTACAACCTACAAAATCTACAAGTGGATTAACAAAACAAAAAAGAAACTGCACCCAACAGCAACATCCTCATAACCCCACCATTTCAAATTGGTCATTTCCCATTATTTTGTTTCGAGGGGGGAAGACGACGCCAAGCAGCACCTAGACATTTTGGTGCACAGGTAGCAGCATCCCTGTGGGATACCTTTATTAGAGAGGCACTTCAGCCTGCAGGAGAGAAAGCATCCTCCCTTTCCAATTACACTAGTCAATTAGGATCAGTGATGAGGGTCTCAAAAGAATATCCTGCAAGCTTGTTCACAGCAAAACTCTGTGTGAAAATAGCATGGCATTACCCACTCTACATTATTTCCCATGACATTTGGTTGGAGATGAGGAGGAAAAAAAAGATTACCACCTACTCACACTTGTCCATATGTAACAGATGCTGAGAGGAGGTCTATTATGCAGCTGAGAAAGAGGAGCTGCAAGACTGTAGTCCCCAAATCAGGGTTTTCTTCAGCATTTTTATCTTCTGAAGTAGCTGTTACTTTCATGGGTTTTGTTTTTAAGCTGCTCATAGTAAAGCAATCACCATGTCCTTGAAAGGGACTGGCCAGCATGAGCCTAAACACACTTGAGAATATGTTGATACTAACCTGATTATACGTATGACACAAAATTGAGTTTAAAATTTTGAATTCAAATTAATTGCGACCTAAAAAAAAAAGTTCTAAAGCAGTGACTACTGTGCCTAAGCAATAGATAAGAATTTTAAGTTGTCCTTATCCATGGGGATTCGATACACTATTAAAGGTAAATCATCGGTAACTACTGCATTGGCAACTACATATTGCTTTTCATCTCTCATGGTTTTGAAATAAAAATAAAAATGTTTTGCCCCATCTTCATTATTTATTTTAAATAGAAATAAAAAACCCTAATAATATATTAAAGGGCATATTTATCAAAACAAGAGAAAAATATTGACTTAGCTCCTTTACTTCGGCTCCCAGCATTCGGAACATGTACATGCTATGCTTTATAGTCAGGAAGCACACACAGAAATTCATGTGTATCCTAGCAGATAAATGTTTTGCAAACACGGGCTTTCCGAGGTCATAAGAACATGCTGAATTCAGGGCAGGGTAATGTTTTACTCCTGAACCTCAGCACAGTGCTCTTTTCCTGTCCTGATACCTAGTGCAGGAGTTCAGATTTGTTTTGCAGAAGTTCTTGTTAAGAAGGAGTGAAAACTGCTTCATGAAAAGGAGTAATTATCAGCTTTAAATTATCACTTTTTTTTTGTTTAACATTTGAATAATATTATCCAAATAAAACCTTTCATAGAAATGGCAGATAGTTTGTAGAATATTTACGTTCCTTTAATAAATTGAAAGCCCTGAACCTCCTGATGGATCTCACACAGAGCATGGAGAGTATTTTTATACTTGTTCTTCAGCAGAACAGTCCAAGAACACAGGCAGGTAAAAACTGATCAATGTCTGATAATTTTCTGCATTGTCTATAATGCACAAGCATTCAGAGCCTGAAAAACAAAGCTGTCAGGCACGTGCATTTTAGACATCAAAATTAGACTGTCAGTACATGCCAAAGTCCAGGTGAATACTTAGACCTAGATACAAGAAAAGGTGACCATGAGCTGAACAGCCAGCGTGGGCAGCAGCACTCAGTGAAAAGGCCAATCAGTCCTTTCAGATCTGAATCAGTCAGGTCTGAATCTCATTTTGAATCTTTTTGAGGAAGGAGGGCAACAAATACCAGCAATACAATCACACTGCAGAGCTCTTGAGCACAAACCAGCAAGAGAGACCGAAAGAGCACAAAATTAAAGTACGTCTTAATGTCATTTGTAGGATTATTATTATTAAAAAAAAAAAAAAAGGGAATTAATGCCAAGGAAATAAAAAAGAAAAATGAGATTCAAGATGCTTTCTTTTCTTTCTTTTCTTTTGTTTTTTTTTCCCCTCTCAGAGTTTATTTTTAAGGACAGGCCTTGTGCACACTTTGGTGAAGGATAGAAAAAGAGTAGTTAAATAGTTTAGCATATTTTCCAGCTGATCCATCCCTCTCCAGCCGTTGGAATGCAAAGTTGTGGTACACAGGCATAACAGACTCAATTCCCTTTTTGTTGAGACACTTTTTATTATTCTTGCAGCATGAAGAGTCCCTAGGAGCGTTCAGAATACGCTTTGCACAGATGCCGTGGTTGAGCACAAATGTGCAAGGAAGACCTGGTTTACATGGGTGATCATACAGGTATCTGGTGTCTCTGAGGCTTCACAGACATTTCTAAAACAAAGTATAGGTGCCTTTTTAAAGCATGTTGAATGTGTAAGTCTTTGGGAGTGTGAGCACCTCTAAGTCCCTCAGGTAGGGATAATGTGAGGAGGCTCAGCACCTTCTGCAGTTTCATGGCCTAATGCTAAAGGACCTGCTAACCACGGCCTTATAATGATTTTGTACAGGACTATTTCCAATGGAAAATTGTAGAGATTAAGAAATAATAAGTGACTGAACAAAGGTGCTCTGGAACATGGCCTTAAAGCTATCTAACAAGCCTAAAGAAACCCCCTCACCAACTTCCCCATTGCAGAAATGGGGATAGTGAAAAAGTCATCCTTTCTCAGCAGTCAGGGACCCAAATAAATCCATAGAGCTCTTGGACAAAGTGATTTTCCCATGACTATGTTTTTTGGTCACTGTATTTTGATGGTAAAGCATATTCAGTATGGAAGTAGAAGCTTTCAAAGCTCTTTTGATCAAGTAAACTGAATATTTCATATTCACAGAGAAGGCAATATTTGTTTATTGTAGCTTCAAGACACAACCTCACTAGTAGCAATAATATTTTTACATATATGTATTATATATATACATATACACACACAGACACACTTCACATTCACGTGTGTATGTATATGAATGGGAAAACTTTCTCATTATGTAGGTAAATAAACCACATAAAGAATGAACTAGTTATCACGACCATTCTTGAAATTCCAGTTTATACAAACTGGTTTGGTTCCCATATAACTGCTCAACCTCTTTTAAATTTCCTTGATGTGGCACACATTATGCACTGTGTTTTAATCCAATTCTCTACATTTGTTCAGAAACAGAGCTTTAAAAACTTAGGTTCACAGATATTAAGGATCTAGCACTGCTGCCTTCCCTCCCACTGGCAGCACTGTGATAATTTAGTTACATCCATGTAAGTAGCTCAAACCTTAGGATATTCATTATGCATAACTGAATATGAGTCCTTGTACCAAACATAAATGGTATCTCCCTTGCAACACAGGAAATCTTCACACTAAAGATGCAAATACCCCTAATCTGAATTGTCTGAAACGGGTCTGAAATTTGTTATAAAGCCCAAAGTCAGTGTTTAACATACTTACAATATCCAACCACTTGCAAAACAATATTCCTCCCTTTCTAGTAAATGATGTTCCACATGCAATTCCTGCACAGTTTTAGGACAGATTAGTTTCAGTTTTGTTTTGGCCAGAGAAGCCAAACAGATCCCAAAGCACAGAAACAGTTGAGCAATTCTGATTCTGTTAGTAATTCCAGACTATATCAAATAACTACTTCATTTAAAGCTGAACTACATTAAAAAAAAAAAAAGTTTTTCCAGAATCCTTATCTGTTTCAAAAGAGTATGGAGACTATTATTTATTTTAAAAGCTTTTTCTTTAAACTTCTGAGGAGAACATACTCCTCCTTTACAGAGTAATCTCTAAAAGTATAGAGAAAACATGAATATCACCTCATACCAGAAGATGAAAAAGCTTTAAAATCTGTTAGATCAGTGATTCAGAAACTTTAAAAAAGATCTGTTTGCAGACTGTTTATTTGGGGCTAACAAAAAGTAAAAGATCAATATTTGGATAGCTTCTATTCCTTATAATGCTTCAAGATTTGTTTCATGAAGTTTACTGAACTCCTGTAAGTGACTGCCAAACAATAGAGTCAGGAAAGAACTGTTGCACGTATTCCTCTCCTCGGAAGTACTCTTTTTGGAGAAGAACTATCATGAATCTGAACAAAAACACATCTGCTGTTGTATAAGGTGACCTCAAAAATAAAAGCAAGGCTTTAAAATGTTTCAAATGTTGCAGTGCCAGCCTTCCCATTGATAGGCCCCCTCTGGTAAGCCACAAAACTAACCTTTAGCTGCTTCTCCTAAAAGCCTCAGCGGAAATTTGAGTGCTCTAAAGCTTATTTTAGTGATTAAGGATTTGTTGTCATTGTTAGTATCAACCCTACTATTTATTCCTAGCAAGCCTAAATAAGTGAATTAAGCTACATCAAGCACTGGCAAATTATGAAGTTTTCGTTTCATGTTAAGTTTACTTATGTAACATTAAATACATAATTCCATGTGATATCACAAAAGACATTTATTTAAGCCTTAGATACTTCAGCTTTAAAAGCAAGGCATTGAGTAGTTTTACTACATTATACAATTATGTACTTTTATATACAAAGCCATGAAACAGGATAACACAAATAGCCTTTTCTCTTATTCACAGTTGTGTAACCTGTTGTACATTGTAAATACAGTTGAATAATTTTTAAGCAAGACAACCGTATCATGCCCTACATAGTATTTTAGTCAGCTCTTTACTGACTCACTGAGCAAGAGCTCCAACTACCTCAAGTATAAATAGAATTTGAATGGGAATTTAAAAGAAAAGATGCTGACTCACAACCAGTAAGAGGACGTGCTGGTGATTCAAACCAATATACAGGCCGGCTGCTCCTAACTCTAAGTAACTTGACTGTATTTGAATAGAGGGGGAAAAGTGTGTTTTTTAAAATCTTCAAATCTAACATTTAGAAAGGAATTTGCTGGGACTGATGTACACAAAGATACTGTATTTTATTTAAGAGCTCTACCTCTTTTTGATGCAACATTCCTTGTTGATTGAAGAGTCCGTACGAGCCTTACCTTTGCAGTGTCTGTGTAGCACATCTAATGCAGCAATGAGGAACTCGTGTGCATCTTGTTGCTCGTACCCTGCTAAATGCCGTGCATGAGTCCATACCAGGTGCAATAACCTATATGGAATGTGAGGAGATCGGTGCCCAGAGTAAAACTGCTCAAAGCAAAGAAAAGGACATGACTGTTAACAAGTTACACAGCCGCAGCACATTCAATTATTAAAAACTTAATGAGTCAATTAGTCAAATAAATTTAAACCATTTAACTCTGATGGCCTTAATAATGAAATACATAGATAGCTTTTTATCACAGACTGCTGAAGAAATCACCTAAAAACTGATTACTTCTCAGTTCTTCCCATCAAAATGTTTGGCTAACCCATAATAAAGACAAGGGGCAACAAATAATACTCAGCTTCCTTACTGATACCACAGCCTTTCACTGAAATAGCCCCAAAATACTGTCTTTGGGAGAAATAACAGTGCCACTCGGAGAGTATGCATCTCAGTAAATTAGGATGAGCAGGGGCTTCGAGCACATTAGAGGGCAGCAGCTGTTATGCAGCTCCAGAATGAAGACAGGGTAACTCTGCATCCAGGGGCTATGCCTATAGCCCTGCCTATATGGAAATATTAGGCTAGCAGTAACACATTTTAGAAATAAAAGGTCTCCTCAGCACAGCTGTTTGCAGTGCTGTAGACCACTTCACTCGTCCTCCCTTCCCAGCGTGTGTGACCACCTCTGCTGGTGCTACAGCCCCAGGGTTCTGGTCCTGGACGAGCTCCTCCATCTGCTTCTTCATCTATTTGAGCCTAGCCCCGAGGGGCTGACTTTAACAGTGCTTGGCACTGCCCCAGCTGATTTGGCCTGAAGCATATTAGGCAGGACACTAATTATTCAGTCATCAAAGCTGTGATGTGCAAGACCACTAGTGAGTAGAGATAAACAGCTGGCAGAGGTATCGTTCTGCTGTCAGCAGAGAAGGGGGTGGACACCTGCCTACAGAAATTCTTCCTCTTTTTTATTTTTTATTCATTAAAATAACAGCCAAATCTCGTTAAAAAAAAAAAACTCTCTGTTTCCTTGGGTTTAAGTTTAGCTCTTTCCTATCCCCTCTTCATCTGAAGTTTACTGCTGCAATTCCTGCGTTCCCACCTTCTCCCTACATCTGCCATCACTCAGGGATGCCTCCTCTGCTGCCAGCTCTGCCATCCGGGCCCTAAAACTACAGCCTGCAGTCCCTTCCCGAGCAAGCTGACTTCTGTACGTGCTGAAAAATTCCTGCAGCAAAAATTCCCACTGGTTGCAGCAGCAGCAGCCCCGCAGAGAGGTGTCTGCTGGCCCTGCCAGGCTCCTGGCTGCAGCCTCCCAAGAACAGAGCAACTGCAGGGGTCACATCCAAACATGCCTCAAACCGGTATTTCACTGAGAAACTTTTTAAAATTAAGTATTAAATGGATAACGTTTCACTTCCAGTAAGTGAGAATTTATGAAGTGTTTTGCCTTCTCGAAGCTTTCAAAACAGTATGCATCAGTAAAGTGTCTGCAAAACCACGATCAGGTTTTGCCAAGACTCTGTGAGACTGATGGCAGTTAATTCGCAGTCCTTCTTCCCAAATGCAGAAAAATGTGCAAGTAACAATAAGCAAAATAAGTACAAGAACCACCAAATACACGGGGGGTGAGTGGGGGGGAAGTAATATATAATACAAACCTGGAAAGATAAGAAAAAAAAATACTGCCTTTTGAGTGACATGTAGGCAAAAGACAGTACAGCCTTCTCATCTAGTCCTCACATCTGTAGGGTTTTCTATGGGGTTTTAATACACTTCCTTGAGAAGAAATTTCCCTGTTACAAGCTCTGTTTTTTCCAAACAAGAAAATATACCTCTGCAGCCCAACAACACAAAATGCTTCTATAAATAAAAAGTTCAATAGTTAACTCTGATGCCAACAGAAATGACACCAAGGGACTGGAGCGGCGGTTTTGTAATTGAAATCTGCTGACGCAGCTGCTGCTCAACATAATTCAGGGAACTGCAGCAATAAAACTTCTCTATTCTGTCACTCCTTACAATTAGTCCCAGAGCTCTTTGGTCATTTTAACCACCAGCACTCTCCGTAATTACTCTGCTGCAGACACTAGACCTGCCAGCAGATTTTACATTCTCTAGTGCTTCATTAAGATTAGAAGAATCTAACAAGAAGCGTTGTCAAATTACTGG